TCTCAATCCACTCCTGGCCCAGCCTCTAAGCTGCCGCAGCTCCGGTTCTCCACCTGAGGAACCACTGAAGACAGGAGACCCTAACTCTTACCTTGCAGGCAGAAAACCACCAAACCAGCCGAGGGAGAAAGGAAAAGACCTGCTGAGTGCTACCCAAAATTAACTTTTACTTCTTCACTTACATTCCCTCTAAGCATCCACACCCGCGTTAAACCTTAATGTGACTGAAGTAGGATTCAAGGTGTTCCCAGCCCAAGTGAGGGCTTAGAACTTTATACACCTACACAAAATTATACATATATAACATATAGATTTTTTTTTTTAATGCTTTCAGGGTGAACACTAGGTATTTTTTTTCTGAAGCTATCACTTCTGGACAAGTATTTAAGCACAGCCTTTGCAAGGTGTCACTTAAAACAGCATTAGGATCCTCTACACTTGAGTAAGAATTCTTACAAGAGCTTAAAACTCAGGCTAAAGAGTTGCTTCTGTGTTTTGCATTGTCAGTAAAAATACCTGGTAAGCAGTGAGGACCTAACCACAAACTTTTCTAAATTTTTGAATTTCCTGTTTTACTTCTCGTTTCAAATCCGTACAGCAGATGTCTAAGGGATAAGCGACTATGGCACAATCGTGATTTTTTTGTGTGTGTGCTGTCAACACGCAGCGGTAAGAACAAGTCGCTAAGAAATAAGAACGCGTAGGAGAAATAGCTTAGGAAAGAAAACAGAATTTGTAAAAATGTTCCACGTAAGAGGTATCTTTCCTTCAGGATTTTTTGACTGCAAAGGTAGAGTGGATATAAATCTTGCAAAGGGCCAGGTGTGTTGTTTATTTGAGCCAGAAATGCTTTTAGAAGAAATACCTGCCCAACAGCAAATAAAGACTATTTATCCAGACGGCATTAAAGGACCAGCAGGCAATAAACCACGCGAGCAAAGCCCTGTGCAAGGGAACAGTCTTGGTGACCACACGCCAACATTGCTCTCCAGAGGCTGCCCTGAGAGCTATCCAAAGAATAATTTTTAATCCCTTATCCACTGGTGATTCCTGACGAAACTTCGTACGCCTCAGGGACCTCGTTACTCTCGATCGTCTTGCGCTTCTGCTGTGCGATTTGCTTTAAATATTTTTGCTACAGTTCCCCTGTTGTGTGAGAGATAATTGCTCTTTGTAGGTGTTCTTGGAAGTCGATTTTTTCTGCAGAATGAGAAATGCGACAGAGAGCCAGGCTGTCCTTTGTGGCCACTGTGGGTTTCAGAACTGGTGGATACGTGGGCTGCTTTCATGACATCTGAGCAGCAACTTGTAGACGACACATTCTGAGGAAACCACCTCAAGTGGTCAGAGGAGTCATCAGAGGAGCAATGAATGATAGAAAGTGGTTTGGTGAGTGCTTCCACCAGGTCCTTCAGCACCCTTGGGTGGGTGGCATCCAGCCCCACGGACTTGCATGTCTCTAAGTGGAGCAACAAGTCTTTAACCATTTTCCCTTGGATTATGGGGACTTCATTCTGCTCCCCGTCCCCGTCTTCTGGTTCAGAAGGCTGGTACCTGGACAACAACCGGTCTTATAGTTGAAGACTGAGGTGACGGAGACGTTAAGCACCTCAGCCTTCTCATCCTTTCTCACCACGTTTTTCCCCTGCATGCAATAAAGGACGGGGATTCTCCTTAGCCCTCCTTTTGTTGTTAGTGCATTTTCTGTTGTTTATAGCCAACTGAAGTTCTAGCTTTTAGCCCTTTCAATCTTCTCCCTGAATAACTTCAAAACATCCTTGAAGCTTTTGAGAATTGCTTGTCCGTTCTTCCAAAGGCCATAAACTCTCTTTTTCTTTTTTCTTTTCTTTTCGCCCCAAGAATTAAACATTTCTCCACACTGAAATACAACCAACTTCCTAGCTGAACGTGGAAACCATCCCTCACCTTCTTAATAAGAATATTATTGTTTGGTTGATATTTTCCTCAGCCATTTCCAGCACAGAAACACAGAAATGCCCTGAATAACCTCAAAACATCCTTGTAGCTTTTGAGAATTGCTTGTCCTTTCTTCCAAAGGCCATAAACTCTCTTTTTTCTTTTCGCCCCAAGAATTAAACATTTCTCCACACTGAAATACAACCAACTTCCTAGCTGAACGTGGAAACCATCCCTCACCTTCTTAATAAGAATATTATTGTTTGGTTGATATTTTCCTCAGCCATTTCCAGCACAGAAACACAGAAATGCCCCTAAAATCTCATGCACCTGGGCAAAGCTCTTCTACTCCAAATTGATAGACTGTGGTCAAGGCACAACTTCTCTAAAAGCTTTTCTTGGCACTAATGTTTTGGGAAGGGAAGCAGAGGAGCAGGATGTCCTTAAAATAGTTGACAACTCACTAATTTGCCTCAAGATAATTGATGATACATGGAGATGAAATACAGCAATAAGTCCTTGTTACTTCACCATGACAGTAAAATTAGAAGTAAACCACCACCACTCAGGCAAAGAATTTTTATAATTTTTTCCCATATTTCCAGACAAAATAGGAAGAGAAAGAGGGAGCAATGACTGGCAGAAGAGAAAGAAGTTTTATTCTCTGCTGTTGTAAAACCAGGTGTGCAATCACAAAAGATTCCTTTCTAGATTTCCAGGTTCTTCCTCACTGGAAGAGGACACTCCTTTCACCTTCTGAAGATGGAGCAGAAAAGGCCATAAAATTCGGTCATCACGTGTCTTCCTTTTCTCCGTTGCATGCTTTCAGAGACCAGTTTCCAGTCTTTGAGGTTCAGGCCACGTGTTCGGTTTACCTTGGCTAGCTCCTGCACACCCACCCAGCCCCTCTCTCACCCAACCTCTCCAACAGGACAGGAGGACAAAAGGAGATTAAGAAGCTTGTGAGCTGAGATAAAGAGGGGGGGATCTCTTATCAATGAACATCACGGGCAGATGATGAACGTGGAACCATTTGATGAACCATTCAAACTTGAACCACAGTTCTCAGTGGCACGTCTGCCCTTGTCTTGGGGAATAAAGGTCCATCTTAGTTTCTATCTCATCAACAAGGCATTATCAATTATATTTTATTATTATATCATTATCAGCCTATCCCTGAGTGACTGCAGGGAGCCGATCTCACGCAATGTTTTCTCTCTCAACACGGCGATTGGTAGCACAACCCTACATTTAATTTTTTATTAGCAGAGGCCTGGTTTTCCAGATAAAAAGCTTCTGAGTTCTCTAGAAGCGTGTCATATCTTGTCCTCTCCTTATCAGACGGCCAGCGCTCCACGCACAGAAGGTCCCTGAGCCAACTGACGTGCTGTTGCACGCCAAGGGACCCGGCCACCAAATACGTTTAATAAAGCCCTTGGGTAGCTGCTCGGAGTTTGCTAATGACATAAGTCTCATGGGTCCAACCCCACCAGAGGAAAACTACTTTTTTCATCTATGTTTAGCATCCAGTACGTTACAGGAGTATTTATACATTGAGGCTGACTTTAGGGAGAAGGAAGACACGGGAAACACAGAGGTCAGTTCAGAAAACCTTGGAGATGTTGCCTCATTTCTGTCTGAATGATAGATGGGAAACAGGACATTGATACCATCACAGGAAAATGTGCCTATAACCTGTCAGGGAAGAAAAGAATCGCTTGAAAACTTCCTGAAACAAATATCCATGCAGGAATCTAAAAACAGGAGCAAGGATACGGCAATTACAAGCAGGAGGAAGAAGAACGGGATGATGCCCTGAACTGTCGGATGAATAACTTGGAACATACTTGAAGTGAATGATCTGAAACGTTTTCAGACAACAAGTGCTGTGGAGTTCAGACTTGAAAGTTGATTTTGTATAAACATTTAGTAACTGGCTACAGCAGTACCCATTTTTTCTTCTCTTTTCCTTACGTTCTTCGCATCAGCCATGGCATATTAAAGCACATGTGTGTGGTTGTGTTTGTTTATGTGAAAGGCAGAGAGAAATGCTTGTGAATATGTTGGAAAAGATACAGGAAAATGTAAATTGCACCGTGAGGTTTTGGTCATTTGGGTCCTTCAACGCAGCTTTATTTAATGTTGATTGATCTAGCCTGGGGCAGGTATCTGCTCTCCGTTTATGCTCAAAGAGAGATGTGCTGTCTTCTGTGGCATAAATCATCACACTGCAGTGTAATGTTCTAAAAAAAAGGTAAACTGAGTCATGCCTTTAAGCTATTTATTCCTCTTCCTTGTTTTCACAGGGAGCCAGAGCTGTTATGCTCAAACTGTGATGCCTGTTCTGCAGGTCGTTAGCTTGGGCAGACTACGGAGCCCTTGGGAGAAACAGAGAGGAAACACTGGGATCATTCCTAAACTGGTGCTGTCGTTTGCAGACATACGTCCCAAATTATGCACGAGGCAAGCTTGTCCGGTGGGAGAAAAAAAAAAGTCTTTGAGAACTACCCAGAAGTGGTAGAGAATAGAGCAGGACTCAAGGAAAGTGCTCAAGCATGTATGAAAACCAAATGCTGGTTTGCTAGTAATCTCCAGCTTGCTGACTTATAAACTCTTGTGCAGAAATGAGCAGCTAAAGAATTTCCTGGTGTGATCATAAATAAAAATGAGCTGCTTTTTTTTTTTTTCCCCTGCTTGTCACGTTTTAACCTCCACAAACCAGTGCGTGTATTTGTCCACTGAAGAACTTCAAAAATTACTCAGAGTGACAAAAAGCTAGAGGAGTTGTGCAGAGTTTTGCAGCTTCTGCTGTGTCAGGAAGCAGAATTTCTCCAGGAGAGCACGTTCTGTTAACAGCAGATCTAAGAGAGCACTCAAGCTATGAAACAGCTGGTGACTCACTGGAGAGGAACACCAGGAAAGAACCTCCCAGACCTGGTTTCTGTGCATATATTCCTAGTTTCAGGTTGGACAAGCTAACTGAAGAGTCCTTTCATCAATTTAGAGGAGTGCAATTAGGTGTAGAACATGCTCATGGTTGAGAGTTATGCTTGAGCATCCCCTCCTCCTCCAGGTCAGCCCATGACTTCACCCCACCCGTGTGCTATGGGAGCCTGAGCTGAAGTGATGGTGCTGGGAAATGTCTCCCGGGTGACTGAATTCATCCTCCTGGGGCTTCCTGATACAAGGGAGCTGCAAGTCCTCTTCTTCACCTTCTTCTTCCTGGCCTATGCCATGGTTCTGCTGGGGAACCTTCTCATCATTGTGACAGTCAGGACCGACCCCAAGCTCTCCTCACCCATGTACTTTCTCCTCTGCAACTTGTCCTTCATAGACATCTGCTACACCTCTGTCACCTCTCCCAGGATGCTGGCAGACCTGCTCTCCCGGAAGAAGGCCATTGCATTTGAAGACTGCATAGTCCAGCTCTTTTTCCTGCACTTTTTTGGGGCATCGGAGATGTTCCTGTTGACCGTGATGACGTATGACCGCTACACCGCCATCTGCAAGCCCCTGCACTACACAGCCATCATGAGCCGCCAAGTTTGCTGGGCCCTGGTGTTGGCCTGCTGGGCCGGGGGCTTCCTCCACTCCATTGTCCAAACCCTTCTCACCATCCAGCTCCCCTTCTGTGGCCCTAACACCATCGACAACTACTTCTGTGATGTGCCGCCCGTCATCCGGCTTGCCTGCACGGACATCTACGTCACGGAGTGGCTCATCGCTTCCAACAGCGGTTTAGTATCCCTGGTTTGCTTCTTCGTGCTTGTCGGATCTTATACGTTCATCCTGGTCACCGTGAGGGTCCGCCTCACTGAGGGGCACTGGAAGGCGCTCTCCACCTGCGCCTCACACATGATGGTTGTCACCCTCTTCTTTGTACCCTGCATCTTCATCTACCTCCAGCCCTTTTCTACCTTCCCCTCTGACAAGCACATCTATGTGATCCCCACTGTCTTCTCCCCGGTGATGAACCCCTTCATCTACACCCTGAGGAGTAATGAGGTGAAGGCATCCATGCGGAGATTGTGGAAGCGCTGCAGGGCCTTCTGAGACAAGCTGGGTTTGTGGCAAACCCAGAGTTACTTTCCTAAGGGCGAGTGGCCGATCCGGGCAGGGGAGCAGAGTCGGGATCCAACAGGCGGGGCAATTTCTGAAGTCCAAACGGGGTTTAGTTCCAATTAAGGAACCTACCTCACCTTGGTTTCTTCAGAGCCTTAAATTTCTTTGGTGCTCTCACCCGTTTTGTTGGCTTTAGATCCCCCTAACCCACCCATGGATTTTTTAGGTTTTTTAAGGTTTTTACTATTTACATATCTTTGTGATTAGAACTGCAGGGTCTGATGGCAATTAGAAGATGCCTTCAAAGAGACGTCAGGAGCACCAAACTCTCAAGCACGGAGTGACAGCGTTACATGGTGAGCTTGGGGACGCAGGGAACGAATTAGAAGGTTTGCTTGGGCAGAGCTCAGGTGTTTGGGATGAAATTCTAAGGGAAATAGCAATCGTGCTGCGGAATAGAGTAGAATCGAAACAACAACCATCCGAGCACTGGATCTGCACGAGTGGGAAACATTGAGCAGCCTCTGAACATTGCTTGGAAAGAGTAAACCACCGTCACGACAGAACTCGCACTAGCGTTGTTACTGTTTATTAAGAAACACAGAGAAATGTCTAAGGCACAGAGAATTCTTTTCCCTAAACTACAAATCAGAAAGATCTGAACAGCCGTGGTCTTTGTCAGTGTCTTTTTTCCCCGCTGTTGCCTTGTCTTTGCCTTTCTATCTTTGTTTTCTTGATGTTCTTCTGTTTCTCACAGAAATGGATGGATTCTTCCCATCGCCACAACCGTGCAGGTGATTCCAACTGGTTGAAAAGCAGTTCAGATCCCTTCGCATGATATTACCTCCTGTTACCAAAAGAATCTGGATTTCTGGAGCCTGAGCGACTCCTCCTTCCACATGGTTGGTGAAAGAACATAATTTCCTCTACACAAGCTCTGAAATCATTAGCTGAGTGGAAAAAAAAAGACTTAAGCTTCTTAGTTTTTAGTCTGATGCTTGGTTTTTAGACTGCTGCATATAGGCATCTTCTGAATTATCTGAAATAACAGGGACAAAATCAGTTTGTATTTTAAACTGGGCTGACATTTAGCAAAGCATCACTTCAGGACAACGTGGAACCAGAATCTAACAGTCTGACAATACCAGAATAGTCTTATTCCAGTTTTAGTAACTCCCAGCCTTGCAAGAACAAAAAGCAGCTCCAAAAAAGGTTTGCATCGGGTTAACAACAAAATTTTTATGTATGTGTACAGACTTCAGGAGATGGAAGGTCTGTAGGGAAACTCAGTCCTTGCCACAGAGACTTAACAGCAGTTGCCCAGCAGCTTCTGCTTGGCTCAAACGTGAGCTGCCGAAACGCACGCAGAGGCGATTTCCCAAGTCGGAAAGAAGGCAACTCAGCCCGTGTTGAAATCCGCTGCTCTGGCAGAGCGGGACAGCGGCTGCGACAGAGCGATCGACCTTCTGGCACAAAGAACAAACTGGAAACGGGAAACTGGTCTTTCACCACTCACTTCTAAGACCCGAGGGACCCACGTTTCAGGCTAAGCAGCAGAATGGTGGAATTCCCTCCCACAAGAGGCAACAATTCGTTGGGTTTGGTTGTTGTTTTTTTTTTGACCTTAACATGTCTTGTATGTCAAAGACCTTTCTTACTTCAGCCCAAAGAGGTGCCATGGCTGTACCTGGCACCATCGGTATTTCAGGACAGATGGGAGAGCAGGGGGGTCATGTTTGCATTGGGTCACTGGGAGGCCAAGGGGTGAATTCTTGCTTTTTGAGCTGTCTGTGACGTAAGGTGCTTCATCAGCTTCACCTGTGTTCCTTGGCTGATTTTCTTCTGAGCTGCCAACGAAGATCTGTGGATCCCGGGGGATGAACGTGTCTATTCTAAGAGAACAGCACCCGAGAAGTGCTGCTTTTTTTTATGACTGTGGGGGCAGCTTAGGCTGATGAGATGGACTGACGGAGAGGCAAATCAATGTCCTTACCCATATTTGGAATTAATTGGGACAGATTGGTGTGAAGCCTACAGCTAGAATCACACTCAGCAATTTGAACAGCGTATGTCTTACATCTTGCTGTCACCACGTTGACATATAACACGACGGTGCGGTGTTCAATAAAACATAGCATCAGGTCATACCTTATCAGCAGTGAACTATAAATATCACAAAGTATCTACAAAATACAAGCTCTTCAACTTACGGAGATGTATGTACAACCGGTCATATTAAAAATAAATGTTGAAAACTTGAAACTTTTTGAATAGTTTCACTTGTATGAGATCATGCCCATGACAGGGAGGTTGGATTAAATGATCTCTAAGGCCCCTTCCAGCCTAGGCTATTCTATGATTCTATGATTCTATGAGTCTATGATCATAATTTTCAAAGAAACAGATCTAGTACAGGAATTTTCTCCTTCTCTGACTTGCTGTGACTGTGCTTTGCCACAGGATGGCAGAGACACATGTGCTGAGCGCATCTAAATGCCTCCGCCGATACAGGTGTTGAACAGCCAAGTGGAGATTTTGGTTGTAAGAATTTCTTTAGGCAGATTAGGACGCCAATTTTTTAAAACCTTTCAGAAAATAGCCATAGTTCTCTCACACAAAGGAATCAGTGAAATTACACAAGGGGGCAATGTGTAGAAGAAGTTGTACAACCCAGCGTTATATCTGGGGAGACAGCAATAATATTTGGGGAAGAAGACTAAAGAAAAAACAACAGGATTCCGTTCTGCGATGTATTTTCAATAATTGCAATCTCCACCTTGCGGTAATTAAGTTTCTGTACTCCATCATCAAACTTTTACGAGGGCAGTATTATATCACCAAAGCCATTGGCTTCTTTGTGCCAGGACGGCTTAGGATTGGATTCACTCCACCAAATAAAAAAATTATAACAGAGGGAAGAAACAGGTCCGCTCAGAAGATAAATAGAGGGAGAATAAAGGAGAATAAAGCAGGTGAATTGCTGCAAGGAAGCAGGAGGCTTTCCACTTTCTCTCCTCTGTGGAGCACTTTCTTAATTTAGCCCTCACCCGCACGCCAGCAGAAAGAAGAGGAAGATCAGAAGCACTGGTGAGTCATTAATCCTCCTGGTCAAGAGAGATTTCCAGATATCGCCCATCTTTATGCAAATGACATTTCTTTTTAACGGTGAATTCCTACTTCTGTTACCTTCTGTTGCATTTGAGAGAAATGTTGAAATATTAAAATGCCCTCTGGGCCAATTAGGCTGAATTTCAATGGAGAAAAATAAAATTTTCACGGTTTTGAATCATTTTAGGAAAGGTTTTTATTAGGCATTTCAGAGTGCATCTTGTAGAAGTCACACACACTCATGTAATACTCAATAACCCCCTATTTTAAATCAGATAAAACTAGACAGGCAAATAGGCATGAACCATGTTTTACTGAGGCAAACGCTTCGATGTTATGAGATACCAACTCCCCAAAGGTATGTGGCATTTCAAAACGCCTTGATCCATAATGTAATAAGTGATCAAAGTCACACCGTGCCAGCTGACAAGAGAGAAGTAAAAATAGTTTAAAATATTTGCAGAGCAGGATCACTCGAGGCAGTGGGAGAAACACCTCGTCCGGTGCAAAACGCTGAATCTGAGCTGAGCCCAACCGGTCAGATCTTCGGCACAAATCCTGCAAGGACCACAGAGCTTAGAGAAAAATCCCCCAGCGTTGGGGTAAATGTGCTGTTTCCCACAGCTCTGCTCTGTTGCCACGACCTCTAACAAAACCCCTGGGCTAATATGGTAAATTTTCCAGTGTATTAACACTTCCCTTGAAGATATTGGGCTGAAAACATTTGTGGTGAAAATAACTCTTGCACCAATAAATCAAACCCTCGAAACGTGGTTCTGTGGGGAAGCAGGTGCAAAAAAAAAATAAACCTTCAGCTGCTGCAAATCGATGCAAGTGGAATCAGAGCCTGGGCCAGTTCCTCAGCTGACATTAATTTTTGCACAGTGGGTTTAAATCAGGAGCAACAAGGGGCCGAAGCCGGTACGAGGTGCTGGGGTGAGCTTGTGTCTGAGGTAAACAAAGAGGGTTTGAGCAGAAAAAGGTCAGAGCTTCTGCTGGCAGAGGTTTGCAGGCAGAGTGCTGGTGAGCGATGGCTCTTGGCCAAGTGTCTCAATGCTTGAGGGGGGTCTCTGTACCCTTGGGGTGCTGCTGGTGCAAAGGTATCACTGGAGAGACTCATTTTCCAGTTTGCAGTGAGTCCCCGTAAGTGAAAACCGGGTCGTTCTTGTTGTTCCATCTTCCCCAGCGGCCCGTGGCTTTTAGCAGCTTGGCTCAAGTTAAAACCTTGGGATCCACACGTTTTGAACTGGGTGACGCTGAGTGGGCAGTGGGGTCAGCGGAGACTGGAATGGAGATGGTCCTGCTCAGAGAACCATCTTCACTGTTTCCCTTACCTGAACAAATCCAGGGTTAGATGTCAACGAGAGATGTAATTATTTATTAGAAGCAGTAAACCCAGGAATGGTTTGGGTTTTTTTTTTTAAAAGAGGAAGAACCGCAGCAAATGCAAAAGAGGGGGAAGGGGGAGGGAAAAGGCTGTGGAGCAAACCCCGTGGATCTTAAAACCAGGAGAGACCTCGCTGCGAGGGCTGGACCTGCTGCGGGATGTGCTGTCACACTTCTTTTTTTTTATATTTCATTTATATATAAATTATATATGGAAGTTTTCTGCCTATGAGGCAATTTGTTTTATAGTCTGTGTCAGCGATGGACATTTTTGTCCAACTCGGGATTTCCCAGTTGCCCTTTTTTTTCCCCCCTCTCTCAGCATTACTGTACGTCCCAGTAAGAAGAAACATTTGTGCTGAGGAGGCAGAAGGGAAAGCCTGTGTAAAACAGACGTGCCAGGCTGATAACTGTTAGTAGGTCATGAAATTTTTGCCTGTTGAGAAAGTCTTCATCAGAACCAGTGCTGAATTTCAGCTCTTTCTTTATTTGTTCTA